TCTGTTAAAATCAAGAACATTTCTTTGCAACACCAAATTAAAAGGTAAGTACAGTTTAGATTAGAAATGTTGTATGCTATTTTTGGACTCAAAACTCCTTAGGAATTGCTCAATAATACCATTAGTCTTCCACTTTAATATGGCCATAAGAAGACCCCAAATGAGTAATTCAAAACTTGCTTTAACCAGCACACCTGGCACGTGACTAGTTCCTGAGAGGCATTTTCCAGCTCTCTGGAGGAAAAAGACAGATTATTACTATGCAGCATTTTAGAGAACTTCATCCAGCATGCAGAATTAGGTGTTTGTTTTTGTTTTTGTTTTTTTTAAAAAAGCTCTCAGGTCCATCTGAAATGACCGCTCTCACAATCCCGTTCTCTAACAATCCTGTTCTCTAACAATCCTGTCCTCTTTACCCTTTCTTAACTTATGCTTTTACTGTGTAAGCTTTCTCCTTTCATTTTTCTCCACTTTCCATGTTCTGACTCCTCTAGTCACTTTATTAACTCTGAGTCATACTTCCAGGATTGTGTAAGTTCTATTTTGAGCCAAACCCAAACCTCATCAACCTCATTAATCCTATCTAACTCTGAACTCCTAGAATTCTTTATTGTTTCCTCCCAAAAGAAATATCATATAACTCAACTTTATTTTTTAAGTTCCCTGGTGGTTTGGTGAACAATTAAACTAAGTTTAGGGAGACATTGCTTTCTGTGTTTTAAACTTAACACAACTTTCAATTAGTTATGTTAGTTAATGGCTTAATAGTGGACAGGAGGATAGAAATTTACAAATGAAAAAGTCTAGGTATTTCAAATGAAATGTACTTAAAATATTTATATTTGGTGACAATTTGGTGTTAGAGCATGATATATAAGATATGAGACTCTTATCTCCAATTAACCACTAGAAAACAGGAAGTGGTGCTGTGGCAAAAGTGATAGAGCGCTTGCCTTGAGCTAAAGAGCTCAGGGACAGTGCCTAAGACTAGAGTCCAAGCCCTATGACAAAAAAAAAAAAAAGAAAGAAAGAAAAAGAAAAAGAGTCTCATGGACTTTTGAGTCTGGGATGGTTTCAAACTGTGATCCTTAGATTTCAGCCTTCTGAGTAGCTAAGATTGTGGGCATGAGCCACTGACACCTGAATCATTATTATACTTAAAGCTACATCCTCTACTTGATTCCTTAAAACATTCTCTATGGCTTAGTTGCTTTATTAAAACAAAATAAAACATTAAAATAAAGCAAAACACAAACAGGCAAGTTCATTTGCAATGTAGGTGCAACTAGCAAAAATAACTGAAATCCCTCTACAGTAAGGCCAATCTTCATGTAGTGCTTTACATTAATGTGAAACCATAGACCTCAAAACATTAACCATACTGCACTACTGCTCTATCCATTCCCATATTGGTTAGTAGCATTGTGGATATCTTACTGGTTGGTGAAAGAGAGTAACAGGCCCAGTGCCTTGTCATCTCATGACATGATTCTGCAAATAAACACTTGCCTGACTTAGTCCAAATGCTCCAGTATTCCTTTTAGGTAACACCTAGCAGTATCATTGTCCTCAAAGTAATAATCATGTATTAGCCAGAATCCTCCATCTTTCAAGGAAGCTCAAGGAACAGTATTATTATACTGTTCCTCTTATGGCTGTACAACCTGTTTTAATAGCATGCATGACTGCACTCCACTTCCCATTTTAGTGAATGATATCAGTAACACCTCAGGGCAACACCTAGGGATTTGTTACTGTGGTGCCCAGTGCCCTTCAGGACTTGATCCCAGCATACCTTTCTTCTTCCTACTATTCTCTCTTCCATTGCATTCTAGCTATTTTGGACTCTGCTAGAGTTGTGCTTACACTACCTTATAAGTCTTTGCTCCCAGAATTTTCAAGATACTTGCTTGCATTCTCACCACTTATGTAATTTCTATTCATTTTCAACTTCGGTAGCACTTATCAGAATATCCTAGCAGCCCATTTGATTTACTGATTGCTATCAGTTTGCAAGTCCATGAAAGCAAAAAATAAACCTCAACCTGCCTGGCACATACCAGTACTCAATAAATATTGTTAGTTATATGAATAAATGCAGAAGATAGGAAAGTCTTGAAATGTAAAGTATGTGATACATAAAATTGGAATATACCATTCTTTTACAAGTACCTTTATATATAATTTTATGTCTGTAACAGGCAACCAAAGGCTCAATTTTTCTGAAATTTTTCTTCATCATATTCTATTTTTCTCAATGGACAAATATGGCATCTTAGCTACATTTTTCTGTCAAATTAAATAATGATAACATCTTTATTTCTCCTTTTAAAATATGAACATTCCGTATTCAGTCACAGTCTTTACTTCTGGTTAACTTTAATTGGGTCTCATTTCCCATTTAAATAATACTCTTGTTCCATGAGGCAAATAGCTTTTCATCATTTTTTCTGCTCAGTTATATCCAAAACAAATTATGCAGCGAAAAGTCTATGAACCCAGCCCAAAGTTGACCATGATGGCTGAGGCCCCAGGGCCAATGGTGAGTTCACTTGCCAATTACTTGGATTTTTAATGCTATACTACTGAGAGAGAGAGAGAGAGAGAGAGAGAGAGAGAGAGAGAGAGAGAGAGTGTTTCCCATTCCTTTTGAATTAGATCACTTAGAAATCTTGGCAGAACCTGGCATACTGAAAGAATTGGTTATTTGCCCAATTAAAAAGTTTTAATACTTTCAAACATTTTATAACTTTTTATTTATATGGTTCAGCTTCAAAATATAGAACTATCTCACCTCACCCTGTGGAACCATATGATTTATGATCCAAACATATAAATTCTTATGATTGTATAATTTTCTTTTCTTTTTTTAATAAGTTTCTTATTGTGAAAATACCATATGATTGTATAATTTTCTAACCAACTACTTACACAGTTAAATTAAAAGTGAAAAAATGTCTAAAACTGGTCAGGCAGCCCAGTGCTGCCAAAAGAATCATGTAAAGGAGGCTTTGGTGAATTTCTTATCATAGTTCTGGAACTATGAAGCTCTCAAGTTCAATATGGAAATATATTCAGAGATTCCTCTCTTTCTCTTTCTTTTTCCATCTTCTTCCTTAAACTGTTTCTTTCTCTCTAAAAGGAGTAAAGCAAGATCATCTCAAAAGTGTACAAAACCCAATACAGGTAAAAAGTGTCACTTTCTGGATCTGAATTTGCCACATACATACAATGGCTTACTACTCAGCAATAAAAACAAAAATAAAAATAAAAACTCACCCAACAATTGGGTGAGTCTTTCCGGAGCTAAAATTGTCTGACATAAAAGAATACATGCTGTAGGAACGTATATGTATGCAGTTCTAGGAGTAGGCAAGACAAGTCAGTGGTACTAGAACTCCAAAAAGTGATGGCCTCTGGTGCAAGGAGAGGAAATGTAGAAGGGAACTTCCTGAAGTGATGAAAACGTTCAATCTAAGACTAAGAGGTAGGGCTGGGAAGGTGGCCCAGTGGTAGAGCGCTTGCCTTGCATGCCTAAGGCCCTGAGTTCGATTCCTCAGCACCACATAAGCAAAAAGCAAAAGACCGGAAGTGGTATTGTGGCTCAAGTGGTAGAGCGCTAGCCTTGAGCTGAAGAGCTGAGGGACAGCGCTCAGGCCCAGAGTTCAGGCCCCACAACTGGACCCAAAAAAAAAAAAAAAAGACTAAGAGGTAGATTACAGTCATGTACATGTCAAGACTACCAACTTGCAAACTTCACATCTGTATGTAAATGATGCCTTAGTTTTAAAAAGAATGCTATTTGTGCTGGGCACCAGTGGCTCATGCCTATAATTCTAACTACTCAGGAGGCTGAGATCTTGAGCATTATAGTTCAAAGCCAGATGGGACAAGAAAGTCTGTGAGAATCTTTATCTCCAATTAACCCCCAAAAAAAGCAGGAAGTGGAGCTGTGATTCAAGTACTAGAGCACTCAGGGACAGTACCTGACCAGTACACACACACACACACACACACACACAGTGTGCTACGTGCTCTTCTTGTACTTCATTTACAATGTTTTTATTTTTTCATTAATGATGTGAAATACATGGACTCTACAAAGTATTTAGTATGTTATAAAACACACTTTGCTTGGGCTGGGAAGGTGACTCAGTGGTAGAGTGCTTGCCTTGCATGCCTGAGGCCCTGGGTTCGATTCCTCAGTACCACATAAGCAAAAAATAAAAAGCCGGAAGTGGCGCTGTGGCTCAAGTGTTAGAGCGCTAGCCTTGAGCTGAAGAGCTGAGGGACAGTGCCCAGGCCCAGAGTTCAGGCCCCACGACCGGACCCAAAAAAAAAAAAAAAAAAACATACTTTGTTTGCTCACCTGTAATGGTAAGCCTTTTCTGTACAAAGTGAATGGGAAAAACACATTTGAAAGAAACTATGACCTGAGATAGGGAAAAGGACTCATATGTTTTTCTAATATGTTTCATTTTTTGAAGTCCTGTGCTACAGATTTATAGTTTCATTTGCTATTAAAGAAATTGTTACTTTCATCTCATTACAAGGAATTACACTGTCACCTGAACCCTATGGATGGAGATTGCAAGGACAGCCATAAAGAAGCATAAGAAAGCAGCTTGCTTTATACTTCATTTTCAAAGGCTGACCACTATAAATAACACAATGAAGGTTTCCTATTAGATAGTTTATTGCCAATATAGCTCCAATAGTAGAAATTTCTAGCAACACCACTTTTTACTTCACAAAAGGTCTATCAGGAATTCCTAACCAGTCTACAGACCAGGAAAAGTGAACAGAGTTTAACTGACTAGGAAGTCTATGGACCTATTATTTAATTTTCATTTTAATAGGCTCATACTATCCACAAAATAAGCACTCTCATTTGCTTCTTTCTTAAGATATCTTCCCCATTTTGGGGAAATAAGTAGACCAGTCACAGCCATGTAGAATTCATTGAATGCTAAAAGTCAGCAAAACTTTAGCACACTCACCTGATGTTGGCTATGTGCTGCTGCACAGGCTGATGCTGGAAATGGTCAGGCCACGGATGATGCAGGCAGAAGGATGGCGAAGGCTGAAGACAGCACGCAGCCTGATACACAGGTGAATGGTTTGGACATAAAGATGCAGAATATTCGGAGTGTGGCTGCATGCAACACGAGGTCAAAGCAGAGGGTGTTGCAGGGCCAGCCTCGGGATGGCACTCTTGGTGATTGTTATGGCTGGTCAAAGGGTGATGGTATGGGCAAGGATGGCAGCATTGGGATAACACCTGATGCGTTCTTTGGTTGTCTAAAGGCAGAAAGGATGACTTTACTGTGCCATTAAGCTGCAGGCATCCATTTGGACTCACTTTTGTTCTTGGTACTTCTTTGGGTGTGAGCTGCTGGGCTGCAAGGTCTCCATCACAGGGGGTGAGGGGACTAAGGTTGGTGGCACTGGTTGTGATGCTGCCATTGCTCATAACCACAAAGTCGTTGTTCACATTGCTCATGGCCATGCTCCACTTTCTTGACTCTACAAAAGAAAATAACACAATAGTACCCAGCTACAAGAAGGCAAGCAATAACGATATCTGAATACAGCTCTTTGGAATGAGGGTTCTGTGGAAGTTGCAGGGCACCCAGCCACACCTGTGATGGAACAGCCAACACACAGGCACAGTTCTTCTACATTATGCACATAACCCCCACTAAGTACTCTTCTCCTACCTCTCCTCTCCATGTCTTTCTTCTCTTCCCATCCTAGATGGATGTGCAAGAACTCATTCAGAAATAGAACATCATGGGGCTGGGAAGGTGGCTCAGTGGTAGAGCACTTGCCTTGCATGCATGAGGCCCTGGGTTCGATTCCCCAGCACCACATAAGCAAAAAGAAAAAAGCCGGAAGTGGCTCTGTGGCTCAAGTGGTAGAGCGCTAGCCTAGAGCTGAGGGACAGCGCCCAGGCCCAGAGTTCAGGCCCCACGACCGGACCAAACAAAAAAAAGAAATAGAACATCATGGAAAGTGAGCAGATAACATCATCCTTCATTTCTTCAACAACCCTCTGCTTGGGCATTCTGGTTTAGGAGTGACAGGTAAAAGGAAGGACTACTCTGAGGGCAATTAGTTGTATAGGTTAAAATAATATAAGCAATCTTAATGTTTCATATCTTAGGAAAATTAATCTCAAGAACGTAAGATTTTCCTCTCACTTAAGTCTCAGAAGAATAAGAATAAATAACCTGGGCACTGGTACCTTGTAATCCTAGCTACTCAGGAGGCTGAGATCTGAGGATCACAGATCAAATCCAGCCCTGGCAGGAAAGTGTGTGAGACTCCTTATCTCCAATCAACCACCAAAAAAATCAGAAGTAGCACTGTGGCCCGAAGTGGTAGAGCACTAACTTTGGGTGAAAAAGCTCAGGGACAGTGCTCAGGCCCTGAGTACAAGCCCCATGACTGACAAAAAAAAGGAAATAAAAACTTGTCAGCTAAGAATGTAGGTTTCATCCTATAATCAATGATTATCATCCTAAAAAATTAGTAAGTAGGCATCATATTGTCCATACACTTGTTTTATGTAATAAACAACAGCAATATTTCTTGCACATGAGAAAAATAATATAATCAAATGAAAGGGTTTTTTTTGTTGTTGTTGTTTCCTGTTGGTCGTGGAGCCTGAACTCTGGGCATGGGCTCTATCCCTGAGCTCTTCAGCTCAAGGCTAGCACTCTACCACTTGAGCCACAGCGCCACTTCCGGCTTTTTCTGCTTATGTGGTGCTGAGGAATCAAACCCAGGACCACCGTCCCAGCCCCTAATGAAAATTTTTCTCTTACTTTTTTTTCCTACCACCAAAGGGTTCAGGCCTTCAATATGCTCAAACTTTTACATGTTCAAATTATCCATATCATATTTTCCCATTCAGTAACCAACAGCAAAACATAAAAAAAAAAATCCTCTATCTCTCTTAGCCCACTCCATCACCCTAAACATCAAACATGTAAAATCTAAGAACTTGTAGGAAAAAATAAGTTATTTAACCTATACATGAAGGTCAACAAGAACAAAAGAAAATTTTTCCTTGGCTCACTCATCTTGTGAACATGGTGCTTGTCTAAGCAGAAAGAAAGGAGAAATCCCCATTTATTCTCTTCTCAACTCTGGCGGGCATAAAGCAGCTAATAAATTATCTCTCTTTAGTCTTGAATCCATTGTAATCTAACCTGGGTCAGTACACGAGGAAGAGACCTGTGTACATTTTAACCCACTGTGTCAAATACTAAACAGGCATTTCTAAGCAGAACATTCAAAAAGAAGGTATAAAGCTTCCATCTGAATCTCGGTACCCAGATTTGTACTCATTGTACAATAATGCAAATTTTGAATCTCTCTGTCTCTGTCTGTCTCTGTCTCTCTCCGTCTGTCTCTTTGTCTCTCTGTCTCTCTGTCTCTCTGTCTCTCTCTCTCACACACACACACACAGTGAGTTAAATAAAATATGATAAGAAATAGAGGAATTAACCTGGGTGCTGGTGGCTTATCCCTGTAAGCCTAGCTACTCAGGAGGCTGAGCTCTGAGGACCACAGTTTAAAGCTAGCCCAGGCAGATAAGTCTGGAAGACCTGTCTCCAATTAACCAGCAATAAGCTGGAAATGAAGCTGTAGCTCAAGTGGTAGAATGCTAGCCTGAGCAAAAAAGCTAAGAGACAGTGCCTAGAACCTGAGTTCAAGCCCCAGCACCAGCGCGCGCGCACACACACACACACACACACACACACACACACACACACACACACACACACACACACACACACACACACACACACCCCAAATTGATGTTACTTATCAGTCTTCAGTTACATTTTACTTAGTTAATTTTATTAGCATAAATTAATTGCACAAGGGGAGTTTCATTGTGATTATATACAATGTTTATAGATCAACCTTACCCTCTCTATTACTATCTTATCCCACTTCCCATTCTTAAAACAATTTCAACAGGTTCAATGGTTCTACCTTAATAAATGCAAACAAACTACTTCAATTATAATCACCCTCATACAATCTTTTCTAATGTTCAATGAGAGGAATTTTGGATTGTAGTACCTACAGTAGTTCTTGATTTCTTAAGATCATTTTTTTTCATCATAAAGGTGATATACAGAGGAGTTGCAGTTATATAAGTCTGGAGCACATTTCTTTTTGAAGAGTGTCACCTCTTCCATCATTTTCTCCCAGTTTTTTTCCCTCCTGATGTCCCTCCCCAAGAAGTTGTATAGTTCATTTTCAACAATGTGTCTACTGAGTATCACTGCTGAATAAGTTCATAAGATCACTTTTGAGTCCAAATAACCAGTATACTACTCAGATGCTATACTGAACACACAATGGAAGTTAAACTACTCTGTCAATCAAAAGAGGCAGGACAGGAATACCAACAGCAAGAGGAATTTAAGAGGTAGAGGCACAACCTCTAGTCCTTCTTTCAGCATTATTGATAATGGCCTACCATCTCAGCAATAAGCTCACTGGAGCATTTGTTCATTGAAGGTTTTATCTTGTTACTGACAAAAAGATGAGCTGTATTCTAATGCTCTGGAAACTATAAGCCATAAAAGGCATTTTAAAAAGTAACTAGATAATGTAGGAAGTAATCAATAGATGAGGTCAAGGAAATAATTTCACAGTATTAGAAACTTGCACTGTAGTGGGACGCCAGTGGCTCACATTGGTAACTGTAGCTACTCAGGAAGCTGACATCTGAGGATTGTGTTTTGAAGCCAGCCCAGGCAGGAAAAGTATGTGAGACTTTTATCTCCAACAAACTATTCACAAAAAGCAAAAAGTAGCACTGAAGCTCAAGTGGTAGAGCTAGACTGGAGCACAAAGAAGCTTAGGGACAGCACGCAGGCCCTGAGTTCAAGGCCCAGGACTGGTTAAAAAGAAAAAGAAAAACAGAAAAGAAACTCTCCCTGTAGAAACACTCTGCATAAAGAAGTCAATGGAAGCACATAACCTTTCAACCTCCTCCCACAGCCAGTGTTCCAGGCCTTCTCTCTTGGCCCCAGAGGAGCTATACCTTCAGTAACCTGCTGGGCTCCATGAGTGTGCAGAAGGGGCTGTGCGCAAACAACTTCTGCCCTTCACATAAGAGGACTGAAGAAAAGAATGCTTCTGTTTTGCTGGTCGTTTATATCATCCCAGGTGTGCTGAAACATCATCTTAGATAGTCCAGTCTTACCAACTATAATCATAGCTGTTCCATGACTTACGTTAGTAAGAAACATCTAAAAAAATCTACTCGAGTTATAAAGTAAAACTAGGCTTAAGACAGTGTCATCAGTTTATATTCTTCAATGTACCTAGAAATTCCTGCTAGATTCTCCACAACTTCCACCCATTATTCTTATCTTCTAATGAAATCTGCTTGCCCTTAGAAAAAAGGATGTTTCTTTTTCTCTATATCTAAAATCATCAACCATTCTCTTTTATTCTTCTTGCCAAGACATCATTTTATAGTTATATAGGCATTAAATAGATTTCTTGTAGGCCAGCTGAGGGACTTAATTACCATTGGTAACATTTTTTTCCACTGTGGTAACATGCAGTTCAAGTGCCAAATAACTGACATAGAAATGAATTTTTGGAACACAACCTGTTTTGTAACTTGGAAACTTCTTGGAATGAAGCTGGTAAAGAATAATTTGAACTCTGACTTTGGTTTGTATTTGAAGTCATATGAACTTTCTCTGATTCTTTAATCGTAAAATAGGAACAATTAAGTTGACTTAAGTTTTTTTAAAAAAGTGAAAAAGAGCAAAAACCAGAAATAAGTCATTTTAAGAAATGTTTATGGCTTATTTAGGCTTGGAGGTTAAAGTGACCAAGAAAATAGCAAAATTTCAATCTGAAGTCAAGTTGACCTTGAAGCTCCCACAGAGATCTTTTTTCTTTAGAATTGAAACAAAAAGGGAAAAATTGGCCTAAAACTAGAATGGAGGAATTAAAACAAAGAGACACAAGACAAAGAACAAATGTAACAAAATGCAAAAAAAAAAGTTTCTAAAGAAACTGTTAATGTCCTTTATTGTGCCAAACTATTGTGATAAATGTAACTGCAAAGGCAGTGATAATTGTATTTACAGTCCAAGTTTGAAATAAGTTTTAGATTAACTATAGTAAGTTTCAAAGAAACCTATTGTTAAAATCTCTTTGGGGAAGACCAGAAACACAGGGAATGACAAAAGAGAGCAATTGTTGAGGCAGTGGCTCCACACCATGAATTTTAGTGTATTTCTTGCTGTCCATAAATTTAATATGCCAATATCAGTACACTCAAAGCCACGAATCCCATACTCAATTGATCTTTCACCTAGCATTTTTATGTTTTAATTTATTTAGCAATTAGTGAGCTCACAAATTCTTTGACCAAGCACTATCTTTTGACTACAATGAATAAAGTGATAAGAATATTAAAAGCTATCCAATGAAGTTTCCTAGTTTTAAAACCAAAACTACGTTTTAAAATTGTA